GCTAAACCCTAAGTCCCCATTCCAGCCTCCCCAAAGCCCCGTTACAACGCTTTCTGGTTCACAGAAGGGAACCGCCATTCTACTTCTGTTTCTGTGAATTTAACCTTGTATCACTGGAATCATGATATTTGTCCTTTTGCGTTTGGCTTATTTCAGTTACCATAATGTTCTCAAGGGTCATCAGTGTTGTAACATGTGTCGGAATTGCCTTCCTTTTCACGACTGAATAATATTCCGCTGTATGTATATGCCACATTTTGTTTATCCAATTATCCATCGATGGGCACTTGGTTTGCTTTCAACTTTTGGCTATTGTGAATAATGCTGTTAAGAACATGAGTATATAAATACTTCTTTGTGTCCCTGTTTTCAGTTCTTTTGGGTATATAGTCAGGAGTTGCTGGATCATATGGTAATTACGTTTAATTTTTTGAGGTACTGCCATATTGCCTTTCACAGCGGCTGCACCCATTTTAGATCCCCACCAGGAAAGCACACAAGGGTTTTAGTTTCTCTTCATCCTCACCAACACTTGTTATTTTCTGTTTTTATTTGTATTTATTTTTTATAGTGGCTATTCTAATGGGCATAAAGTGGGGACTTATGTGATTCTTCTTTGCATTTTACTGACTAGTGATGTTTTGTGTCTTTTCATGTGCTCTCTGACCATTTGTATTTCATTTTTGGAAAAATGTCTATTCAAATCCTTTGCCCATTTTTAAATTGTTTCTTTTTGCTTGTTTGCTTGTTGTGGAGTTTTAAGAGTTCTCTTTATACTCTGAATTTTAATCCTTTATCAGATATGTGGTTTGCAAACTTTGTCTCCCATTCTACAGATAGGCCTTCTATTCTGTTGATTGTGTACTTTAATTCATGGAAGTTTTTAATTTTTATAAAATCCAATTTATTTTTTTCTTTTGTTGCTAATGCCTTTGGTGTTACGTCCAAGAAATTATTGCCACATCCAATGTCATGGAGCTTTCTATGTTTCCTTTCTCTTAAGAGAAGAGTGGTATAGTTTTAACTCTTATGTTTAAGAATTTGATTCATTTTGAGTTAACTTTTGTATATGGTGTAAGGTAAGGGTCCAACTTCATTCTTTTGCATGTTTACATACAGCTTTCGCAGCACCATTTGTTGAAAATACTGTCTTTTCTCCATGGAAGTCCTTGGCACCCTCATCAGAAATCAAATGCCCACATACAGAACTTTCTTGCCAGGCTATTTGTGCCATTGGCCCTGTGCCTGTGCCACACTGTCTTTGTAATACATTTGGAAATAAGGCAGTACGAGCCCTCCAACTCTGCTCTCCTTTTCCAAGATTGTTCTGGCTCTGTCAGCAATGTTTTATAATTTTAAACATAAATGTCTTTCACCTTCTGGGTTAAATGTATTCCTAAGTACTTTTTTGTTGCTAATATAAATAAAATTGCTTTTCAAAAATTTTCTTTTCAGATTGTTTTTGCTCATGTACAGAAATACAACTGGTTTTTGTGTGTTGATTTGTATATGTCAACTTTGCTGCATTTGTTTATCAGCTCTGGCTTTTGTGTGTGGGGGGGGTATCTTTTGACATATAAGATCACGCCATCTGTAGATAATAACTTTACTTCCTCTTTTCCAATTTGGATGCCTTTTATTTGTTGTTGTTTTTTTTCTTACTTAATTTCTCTGGCTAGAATTTCTAGTACTCTGTTGACTAGAAGTGGCAAAAGTCAACATCCCTGCCTTATTCTTGATGTTAGGGGCAAAGCTTTCAGTCTTTCAACATCATGTATGATGTTAATTGTGGGTTTTTTCCTATGTGGCCTTTATCATACTGAGGAAGTTCCCTTATGTTCTTAGTTTGCTGTTTTTTTTTTAATTCTCACCCCAGGATATGTTTATTGATTCTTAGAAAGAGAGAGAAAGGGAGGGAGGGAGGGAAGGAGGGAGGGAGACAGAGAGAGAGGGAAGCATAGATGTGAGAGGGAAACATCAACATGAGAGAGAAACATTGGTCGGCTGCTTCCGCACTGGTGCCCTGACCAGGGATCAAACCCACAACCTTCTGGTGTACAGAATGGCCAGGACTTACTGAGTGTTTTTATTATAAATTTTGTCAAATGCTGTTTTTTCCTGCATCAATGATGTGATTATGTGGGTTTCCCTTTCTTCATTCTATGAATGTGGTGTATTACAATGATTTTTATATGCTAACCCATTCGTGTATTCTGGGACTAAACCCCACTTTGTCATGGTGTATAATTCTTTTAATATGCTGCTGAATTCAGTTTGCTTGTATTTTGTTAAGGACTTTCGCATCAATATTCATAAAGGATATTGGTCTGTAGTTTTCATTTTTTATGTAGTGTCTTTGTCTGGCTTTGGTATCAGGGTGATGCTGGCCTCATAGATTGACTTAGGAAGTGAGCTCATCTATTCAACTTTTTTGGAAGAGTTTGTGGAGGACCGGTATTAATTCCTCCTTTAATATTTTGTAGAATTCACAAATGAAGTCATCTGGTCCTGGGCTTTTCTTTGTTGGGCCATGTTTTGATTACTAATTCAGCCTATTTATACTAGCTGTAGGGCTCTCCTGATTTTCTGTTTCTTTCGGAGTCAGTTTTGGTTGATCATGTGTTTCTAGGCATGTGTCCATTTCCTCTAGCTTATACAATTTGTTGGCATATAATTGTTCATATTATTATCTTATACTTTTTATTTCTCTAAAATTGGTAGTAATGTCCCACTTCTTTCCTGAAATTTGAGATTCTGTAACTTTGAGTCTTCTCTTTTCCTTAGTTAATCTACCTAAATGTCTATCAATTTTATTGACCTTTTTAGTGGATCAACTTTTGGTCTTGTTCATTTTCCCCACTGTTTTCTTAGTCTCCATTTCATTTATCTCTGCTCCAGTCTTTAGTGTTTCCCCCTTTCTGCTAGCTTTGGGTTTAGTTTTCCTTTTTTCTAGCTCCTTAACTTGTAAGTTATTGATTTGAAGTTTTTCTTCTTTTTTAATGTAGGAATTTCCAGGTATAAATTTCTTTCTGAGTGCTGCTTTCACTGTATCCCATCTATTTTGTTATGCTGCATTTTCATTCATTTCTAAATATTTTCTAATTTTCATTGTTATTTCTTCTTTGACTCATTAGTTGTTGAAGTGTTTATTTTACATATATTTGTGCATTTTTATGTTTTCATTCTGTTATTGATTTCTAGTTTCAATTCATTATGATTTAAAGAGATACTTTGTATAATTTTAGTCTGTTAAAATTTATTAAGACTTGTTTTGTGGCTTAACATGTGGTTTATCCTGGAGAATGTTCTGTATATGTTTGGGAAGAATGTGTATGCTGTTGGGTGGAGTGTCTTTTAGGACTAACTGGTTTATGGTGTTGCTCATATCTGCTCTCTATTCCTTATTGATCTTCTGTCTTTCTCATTGTTCTATCTGCTATTGAAAGTGGGGTAGTACAGTCTCTGAATCAGTTTATCACGCCTGCTGTAACAAGTACCGCAAACTGTGGAGGGCTCGAACAACAAACTTCTTTTCTCAGTTCCGGAGGCAGGAAGTCCAAAATAAAGGTGTAAGCAGGACCACGCTCTCTCTCATAGCTCTGGCCGGCGGTGGGGGGAGCGGGGGTCCTTCTTGCTTCTCCCTAGTGTCTGGAGTTTGCCAGCAGTCCCAGGCATTTATTAGCTTGCAGATGCATTGCTCCACTTCCCATCTCCATCATCATACATTGCACAACATTCTCCCTGTGTGTCTCTGAGTGTCAGTTTTCTCTTCTTTTTTTAAAAAAGATTTTATTTATTTACTTTTAGGGAGAGGGGAAAGGAAGGAGAAAGAGAGGGAGAGAAACATCAACGTGTGAGAGATACATCGATTGGTTGCCTCTCACATGCCCCCAACCAGGGACTTGGCCTGCAACCCAGCCATGTGCCCTTCCTGGGAATTGAACCAGAAACCTTTGGTTCACAGGCCAGTGCTCAATCCACTGAGCCACACCAACCAGGGCCTGTTTTCTCTTCTTGAGAGGACACATATCATTGTGTTAGGACCCACCCTAATCCAGTATGCCCTCATCTTCACTAATTATATCTGCAAAGCCCCTACTTTTAAATAAGGTCAGTTAAAGATATCCAGGGTTATTATTTAACATACCTTTCTGAGAGTACAGTTAAACCCATAACAGGTGTTATCTTACAATTGCTGATGACTTTTTTTTTTAACATTTAAACATCTCTGAAATCAAGATGTATTTTACAATCAATGGTATCTTCAATTCCATGAGCCTCAGTTACCAATTTCATAATGTGATAATTACTATGAAGACAATACGGACTGAGAGTGGCTGGGCAAGTGTGTGGGAGTGTGATTTTAGGTTGAGTGGTCAGGGAAGGTTCCTTATGTAGCTGACATTTAAGTAAAGAGTAATTACGTAGAAGGGGCCAGCCATGCAAAACCTGGGGCAAGAGTCTTTCACCAACCAGAGGGAACAGTAAGTATAAAAGCCTTGAACTGGAAACAAGTTTGGCATACTTAAGGAGGAGCAAAACAAATAAACAAACAAAAAATCAAAACAACGACAAACTCCCAAAACCAGCGGAGCTGGGGCATAGTAAGGAAGAAAAAGGTAGAACAAGATGATATTTGTATGGGACTAAAAGCCACCTGTTAACACTAAGGGTTGAGATGATGAAATTTCTGGACATAGAGTGTTCTTAAGAATAAAGCTCCTCCCAAGAACATTTTAAAACTTGCACCTTTTAAAAGACGATGCGATAAGGAAATCCTTTCTAATTTCTGTAACACCATTAATCCTTTATTCTGATCCCTTTGACCTCAGTATGTGAACATGTTCTTGCTGGGTTCAGTATTTTGGAAACTCATCTAACTCTTTTATGAGTTATTTTAAATCTTTATACTTTCTGGAAAATGACTTCTCAGGCTTATGAATATAAAGTCTCTCACTGTCATTGCTTCACTAAAAAACAATCTCTTATCTCTCTTGAAGATTGAAGTGAAGTATTCAGTTCCAGAGCAAAATCCCAGTCCAGAAGCAGACTATTCTCTTAATTTACCAGACAGGTGAGTATAATTTTACATGTCTAAATGTGTCTCAGAGGCACATCTCATGCTTATAACTCATTGTGATGCTGGGGCAAGGTATGGAAGAGGCCTGTTAGGGGTATGATATCATTATTACTTTCTTTTTGTCTCGGCAGCGTAACAGAAGCAGGACCGCGGAACCAAGAGAGCAAACAACAGATAAGGGCGAAAAATGCAGAAGCTTCTTCCTTTGACCTTAGGATGTCTAAAATAAGTGAAAAGAAAGGGTTAGCTTTGCACCCTGTTACACGGAACAGTTCTTTTGAGTTTTTGGAGCTCAATTGTGGTTATAACAAAAATGCTGACACAGCCATGAAATGGGAGACAAAGGCATTTGCCATGGCTGGGGAGCCTCTTCAGAAGCATCAAAGTTTGGACTTGAGCTCCATTTCGTTTGGAGCATGTCCTAATTCTAAGCCTGTAATTGAGGAAGAAAGGTATTTCAATTCAAAGGGGCCAATAATGCGGACCAAGTCAACTCCCTTTGAATTGACACAACAGAGAGACACCAAGGAATTGGGCATCAAGGGAAATTTTTCTTACTTGGAACCTCCACCGAACAGTTCTTGCCTTGAGGCGACTCACAAAGCGATGCATGTTTCTTCCGGAGAACTGAATTATTCACTGTTGTGTGACTCCAAGCACCCAATGTGCAATGTCTCTAATGCAAAGCAGCATGACTCGAGCGCTTTTAATGCACATTCTTACCTGTCTTTAATGGAAGATCCTTATTTTCCATCCTTGTCTCCAAGCAGTACTGGCTCTAAGATGTCTCTTGATTTACCCGAGAAACAAGATAGAACTGCGTCACCCTGTTCTTTGTTGCCAACATCCTCTGCAACCCTATTTCCTTATTATGAGTCACCTGGTTCTTCAGCACTGAACCCCCCAACTGATTTCTCCCTCGCACTGAACCAAGGGACAGCAGGACTCGGTAAATTATTTTTAAAAGTTTTTATAGGCTTTTAGATTTCACTTTGTTTCTCCAGAAGATTTGGTTTCCTTTCATCCTCCCCCTTGTCCTTCTCTGTTTGCTTCCTTCTCTTTTAATGATGTGATAAGTTGAAAATAGCAAAAACAGACGTGTAACATTCCATGAGCTATATGATCTGTGATCCGTGATCTATGCCGACAGGAGTGTTTCTGACAAAGGCAATTCTCATTCCTGAAAATGTATATCAAAGGTCCACAGTTCACCCTTAACCTACAGAAGCAGCTTCCAAAAGAATGTAAGAGAAGGTTTGATCGGCGCCACCACATGGTTACTCAGAATGTTTCCTGCACGACCATGTGGCTATGCGAAGTTGAAGGGAGAGCTAAGAATGGCGGTCTCTTGCTGAGGCAGTTGGAAGGGGACCTAATTTTCTACTGCCTTTTTATGATAAGTTAGCAGATGGGAATATGCATTCCATATTCTGTGTGGGATTTTAATCATATATACAACTTTACTTTCATATTTAATAATTCTAGGTTTTTGCCTATTTGCACATTGTTTTACTGAGTGGTTTGGTATTGGAAGTAATTATCTTGTTAGAGATGATTATAATAGTTTGATGTGGAGGAAGAGAAGGAAAACAAAGAGTAAGTTTAACTCTCGTAGGTAGATCATCAGAAATTTATGGAAAGTATTCCACCTGAATAAGAAGTAGAAAGAGCTTTTACTCTATAATATTATTGCATCATTTCTTAATAGATGTGTAGATGGGTAGCTTTGTTACAGAAATATTTTATCTGGATCTTGTTCCTTCTCTGATTAGATTATTTTATGTACCTTGGTCTTGTTTTATAATTTAGGAGAATTTTATTTTTCTAAATGCCTATAATACTTTAAAATCCTCTGAGCATCAACATTAAAAGATACATCTTTATCTTCAGGGATTGAAACAACATTGACATGTGTGCCCTCTGGTGGCAGTTTCTTATAATAGCATTCAATTTTTTTCTGTAAAAATCCTGAATATATCTATAGAAATATAGAAAACCCTGTTATAATATTGTTTTGTAAAAAAAATTCACATATTCTTCATCCTTGTGAAATGAGTAAGAAATGCTAAGATATTTATGATTTTACCTAGCTTGTCATTGAATCTTTGGCATCTAAAAGTGCTTTTATGATGCTATAATGTATATTCTATGTGAAACAAACAAAAAAAGAGTTATGTAATTTTTTTAAAAGACTGCATTTTTTTTTTTTTAGAGAAAGGAGAGGAGAGGGAGAAAGAGGGAGAGAAACTTCAATGTGTGAGAGAAACAGTGGTCTGTTTCCTCTCGTATGTCTCCAACCAGGGACCTGGCCTGCAACCTATGCATGTGCCCTGACCAGAAATTGAACAAGTGACCTTTTGGTTTGTGGGATGATGCCCAACCCACTGAGCCACACCAGTCAGGGCAAGAGTTATGTAACTTAAACTAATATAATATTTCATATTATGTTAACTGATCCTCAGAGACTCAATCAAACTACTTTCTGGCTTTTAAAAGAAAAAATGCATTTTGAAGAAGCAAAAACCTCCTGGGTTTGCAATTTAAGATGAGAGAATTTATTTTGCTTTTCCCTTGAGTGAACAGATACTGGCTTAAATATTGTAATGATGCTTGATGGGATTTACGTAAAGATTAGAATGTAAGAATTTTTTTTGGATTTTCCTGATTAAAAATTGTAATTATATTTCTGACATTTTGGATAGCAACTTCTCCAAGAATAGATGATGAAATCCCCCCTCCTCTTCCCGAACGGACACCTGAATCTTTTATTGTGGTAGAGGAAGCGGGTGAGTACAGTTCAGTAAGTGTAACATGAAGTGTGGATTAACGAGGTCACTTCTCAAGTCCTTCCAAAGTTCTGTGTGCTATAGCTCAGAAACACTTGCTTTCTAGAAGATTTATAACTCTCCTAAGAATTGGACTATATTTCCTTTCTTCCAGGAGAAGTCCCACTGAGCGTTCCGGAATCTTCATCCTCAGCTGTGATGACAGAAATTGGAAGATCACTAGAATGCAGTGGAACATCTGAATCAAACAAACCTGATGACTCTGTGAGACTTAGGCCAACCAAGGTCAGTAACTTTTTTTTTTCTGACTCTACTCTTTTGGCCTTAACAGACTAAAGTCCTACTCCTTGTATTTTTAACACCTGTGTATTACTCAGTGAATATTAAGCAGATCCTACTTATAAAACAATATGCCAAAGTACATGGACGATAAAGAGATGTGGAAGACCCAATTATTGCCCTTAAGAAATTTATAGTCTACCAGTGGAGATACAGCATGTGTATACAAGTATTTTTCTCTATTTCTTATAACAAGGCAAATATGACCAGTGCTATATGAAAGATAAAAGATTTGGAAGTGTAGGCAATCCCTTCAGGTGGGAAGTGGTCAAGGAAGACTTAGTCAAAGTGAAAACATTTGAGCTGAATTCTTGAAGGAGAGTTAAAGCTAAAAGAAATGTTTCATAAATAGTTTCTTTGCAGTAGTCATTTGGCTGTATCGTGTGTGCTGTGATGAAGTATTTATAGAGAGTAATTTTTTTTTTGAGTGACAGATGTCCATATTATTTGAGTTATACTTGTTGGAATAATGTTCCCTGATTCTGGAAGAAAAATCTAACCTTTCAACAATCTGATATGCATTTGTATATATTCTATGAACCAACTACCTTACAATATCAGAGATCAGAAAAGTAATTAACTAAAACATTTAAACATGCTTACAACTGCAATGCTGGTAGGCAAATATTCTCTATCTTTTTAATTATACTTTTAAGTTACTAGTAATTGTTATTATTATTGTTAACAATATGCTACATAAGATATTTTTTCATTAAATAACCCCCAGAGCAGAGAACAATCCCTCCTTTTCCAATGTCATGAAATAACTTCAATTTCAACAATTTACTGCCTACTAAAATTTCAGGGAAATGTTCTGAGTAGAAAGGAAATAGGTCAAAACAGGATCAGTTTAGAACTAACTGTCATGACATATAAAAATTACTTTAAGAGCTAATGCCTTTTTTTAAATAATTCAGCACAACTCATAAGTCACAAAAAATAGGGTCAACACTTCATAACTATCTCTTACTGGTATATGCAATATAATTTCAAAAATTTCATGTATTGCTTTGAGTTTGTAAATTTGTGCACATATTCTTGTTTCACTTTTCCTTTCTTTCTCTCTCTCTTTTTTTTTTTTTTTTTCAGAATGTAAGACTTCAGCGTCCCAATTCAGGTAAAAAAATTCTCTTGGCTTTAGATGAGATTTTAGCCCTGAGTATTTGTACTGAAAGAATGGCTTACAGTAATTCACCTCAAGAGATGGCATGGTTCTCGTAATAGCTTCCCCTGTTTATTGATTGATTTCTGATTTCCCCAGACTAGGAGTTTTGTTTTGTCAAGGGCGGAGTGAAGACAGGATTTTAGGATTCTGCCCTTCAATACGTAACCCTTTAAAAAAGCTATTTTATTTAGTATCTCTTCAACCTTTGCAGCAGTTCCATTTTATACGTTTTGTCATCGTTCACAGGGTGATTCTAGAAACTCTTTGTGACCATTTAGATCTTTAACTTTGTGGCCATTTAGATCTTTAACTAAAGATTTAGATGTTTAACTTGACTTATCTAAAAGTTAAAACTTAACTTTTTAGATCTTTATCTGAAAAAGCCTTCTCCAGGGCTTTCCTGGGCTTCGCTTGCCTCATACAGTGAGTAGCAACATCAACAGCTGACCTGATTGGTGCTTGACATACACTGTAACAGGTGGTGGTTGCCCATAACATATTTATTCATGTTAACATATTATTCACTTATCGTGTTCATATTATACATAAATAGGTAGTATAACACAGAGGTTGAAAAAATGGGCTTTAGAGTCCGAATTTAATTCAAATCCCCACAGTACCAAGAGTTTTCAAAAGCATAATGGTGGTTAACTTATATACTCTATCAATATTTCTCACTTATAAAATGAGGATACCAGAACTCCTGTTTTAGAGGATTTCCACAAGGATTAAGTGCAATAATGCACATGAAGCTTTAAGCGCAGTGATTATCAAATCATAGGCTCTCATTAAATGTTACCTCTTATCACTTTTATTAGATAATTATTAAATGAGCATTTCCTAGGCAAGCTCTGTGTGTCTTACATCTTTTTAGGAGGATATATAAGAAAAGGTATTGCTAGAAGGACAAATACCATACGATTTCACTTACATGTAGAATCTAAAAAACAAAATAAATGAAAAAAATTGAAACAGGCTCATAAATGCAGAGAACGGAGCGATGGTCACCGGAGGGGAGAGGGACTGGGGGACTGGGTGAAAAAGATCAAGGAATTAAGAAGTGCAAATTGTTAGTTACAAAATAGTCACATGGGTGTAAAGTATAGTGTAGGGAATAAAGGTCAGTAATATTGTAATAACTATATGATGCCAGGTGGGTACTGGAAATATCAAGAGGAACACTTTGTTAAGTATATGATTGTCTAACCACTATGCTGTTCACCTGAAACTAATAGAAAATAATATTGAATGTAAAAAAAAGATATATTGTGAAGAACATAGAGGATTTGCTTTAAAATAATTTAGCAAAGAAAAAAGGGTAAAGGTACAATTGAGCAAATCTGGAAAAATCTTGAAAATTATTGAACTGAGGAAATGGAGGTTCATTGTACTAATTTCTATACTTTGAAATACATTAAAAAATTTTCCTTGAGAAAAAGAGAGAAAAAGAAAGGGTACTGTTGAACGCGTGCATTCAAATGGGGTTGACAAAATCAATACCCATTTGGAAGGATTAAGCGGTAACCTGTGTGGCCCCGGCTATAACCACCAGGGGTGCTCAGGAAAGGCGTCACCGGGCAGAAGAAAGACACATAAGACGATGGGTAGACAGAGTGATGAAGCAGGGGATGCCAGGGGGCGAGCGACAAGGTCACAGTGACTTCGAGATAGAAATAAGAGTGACGAGTGCAGAGGAATGGCGAGCAGGTGAATTTAACGGCAACAGGAGTTCTACTCTGGGAAATATGGACAGCAAATCGGGCTGGATAAAACGTGGGAAGGTGCTGAAGAACTTCTAAGCAAGGCAGATGAACTATGCAGGAGGACAGGCGAATCTGGAGGGAGTAGGCTCGTGGCTGCCAACCTACCCTGAAGGGAATAGGGAGGCATCGCTAAATGAGGGTGGAGTTCGTTATTTTTTTCTTTTTAGGGTGATGAGACTGTTTTGAAATTAGATAGCAATGATGGTTGCACAACACTGTGAATGTACTCTATCAGTCACAACAAATTTTGTCATGTGTATTTTATCACACACACAGTCAGGCGGAAGAATTTAGATTTAATGCAGTAAGCATGGTAAGGTCCTTCATCAGGTGAGTATCAACATGAAGGTGGCATTTCAGGAAGGTATTTGGCAGTCTGGTGTTAACTGAAAGTTCCTTTCAGTTCTTAGAATATTTTCTAATAGCGAACTGGAAGATGATAAGCTACTTAAAGTAGTTATCAAATGTTTATTAAATGCCTACTACATGCCACTTATTGTATTAGGTGCTAGAAACAAGTATTGTACTTTAATTTTGCATTTTACCCAGCATATAGGAATAAACAAGAGAATTTGCTTTATAGACGAATACTAAGACCTAAAAAACCAAATGACCAAAGATAGATGAAACCAGCCCTTAACTACATTTTCATTTTCAGAGGACATTAATCTAGTATATAATTGTACTCAGCACTGTATAATAAGAAGCCTATGTCACTAGAACAGCATTTGTATCTTTAGGACTTATAGCAGGGGAAAGAGCCTCGTTATTTAAAAATTTTTATTATGAAAAATTTCAACACTTATTTTAAACCTACCATGATAGCATTATCACACCAATAAAATTAACTAATTTCTTAATATTACCTAATATCCAGACATGTTTCAGTTTCTTACATTGTCTTAACAATGCCGTTTCACTGTATGTTTATTTGAATCTGGATTCAAACAAAGGCTACACATTGTATTTGGTTTGTATGTTTCTTACATCTTTTAAAATTTATAAGAGGTCACCTCCCTTTTTATATTTTGTCGTGCCCTCTGTTTGCTGCTGGGAGTAGGTCATGGGGAAAGGTCGCTAACGTTCCAGACCCGGCTGTCTGACTCCCATGGTTTCGCTTGACAGGCTCCTCTTTCCCCAGGATGCTCTGTAAAGTGGTCATTAAAAGTAGGAGCTAAATTAACTTCAAGTTTGGTTTCTTTGGAAAACCGCTTTTGTAAGTGAGCTTATGAGTTTGTGATAAATCAGAGGCTCAGTGGTTAAAGAGCTAGAACACAATTCTTGAGGCTCCAGTCATTGTTCAGATCATTTTTTATTTGGCTGTAGGTGCATAATGAAAAATTGGAGAGGGTGGGGAGGAGGGCGGGTGGAGGTGGACGAGGGTATGAGGGGATAAATGGGAATGGAAAAAATACAATACATACATACATACATACATACATACATAATTGGGAAAGCTATACAAAACCAAAAAGGGGCCTCGACTCAAGACTTTTCAGTGATGGCTGTTTGTGTTTGTTGCACGCTCTTCTTATCATAGATCTACGAGAAGATCGTTCCTCTCCCCCTCCGCCACTCCCAGAAAGAACCCCAGAGTCCTTCTTACTTGCCGATGAAGACTGTAAGTGGCAGCACTTTCTCTCCAAAAAATTATAAAAACAAAGCTGTTAAAAGGTTAATGATAAAGCAGGACCTAAATGAGAAAGGTACAAGGAATGATTAAATAAGATAAGAATAATATATTTAAAAATCCCACAATGTATTGTAAAAATGATGCATAAAAAAGCCAAGCTAAGAATTACTGAATATATACCTATATAAAACCTGAAAGCTTAAGTTTTTTTGTTTGTTTTTGTTTTTGTTTTTAGGTATGCAGGCTCAACCCATAAATGTTTATTCTAGCTGTCCTAATGCCATGGAAAATTCAACGTCTTCAAAACAGACATTGAAGACTCCTGGAAAAAGTTTCACAAGGAGTAAGGTAAAGAAGATGGAGTTTATTAAAACATGCCTGAAGCTCTTCATTATTGAAAGTGACCCTCCTTTGCTCCCCTCTCCCACCAGCTGCTGGCATTAAGATGAAAAGGCAGATTATGTATCTTCACTGAAATGGTTGGTCTTACAACTTTCAAAATTAATGGAAGGAAACAACAACAACAACAAAATACAGCTTAGTTTAAAGCACACCCAATTAAACCATCAACTTTTTTTTCTTTCCTGGAATGAGACAAACTGACTCCAAAGTTCATACAGGAGGATGAAAAGAGCAAGAATGGCCAGTAAACTAGAAAAAAATTAAAATAGAATTAAAAGCAGTGGAAGGAGCTAGCTTCCTTGAGAGCTTGGAAAACATTGCAAAGCCCCAATAATTAAAGTGGAATGATATTGGTGTATGAAGAAAACACATACCAACAGAGCAGAAGGGGGAATCCAGAAATAGGTTTAAACATGTATAGGATTTTGGTATATAGTTAACTATGGATGTTTTAATAATTGTTGTGGGGTGAACTAAAGAGGCAACTGAAGAAAAATCTATGATCCCTACCTCACAGCTATACGAGGATGTATTCTAGGAGGGTAAAATATTTAATTAAAAAAAAATAAAACAAATGAACAAATGAAACCAACCCAAAAAGTACTAAAAAAACAAACAAACTTGGAACGATTACTTTACAACCTGGGAGTGAGAAAGACCTATATAACTATGACTGAGAATCCAGGAACCATAAGAAGAAAGATTTATAAATTCACTTAAATAAAATAGAAAATTTCTGCATGACAAAAATAATATCACCTTAAAAATCAAAAGACAGAGGACAAATTGGAGAAAAATATCTGCATCTGGCATCATAGCTAAGGAGTTGTTTCTTTAATACATAAATATTTCTAGAAATTCATAGAAAATAATATCCCTAATAGAAAAGTGGGCAAAAAAAAATGATTGGATAATTTAAACAAAAATAAATATGCATGTCTGCCCATTAAACATTTGATATTTTCAACCTCACTCACAAGAGAAATGCAAATTAAGAACACTGAGACATACTGTTTTTCATGTATCAGAATGGCAAATTCCAAAGTTTGACTCTGTCAGGCTGGCTATGGGAAAATAAGCACACGCCTGCGTTGTGGGTGGGAATGTCAAGTGGTATAACTTCCGTGAAGGACAATTTAGCAATATCTATCAAATGCATACACCTTTTGATCCATCTGTAGGAATTTATCCTTTAAATAAGTGTGTACATATATGAAATGAATTGTATCCCAGATTATTTACTGGAGCATTATTAACTAAAGCATAAACATTAATCATTAGGGAAATTGATTAAGTAAATCATGGTAGATGCATACAATGGAATACTATGTAACTAAAGAAATGATGACTTTCTCACTCTATATATAATTTATTAACTTTTGCTTAGAAGAAACAAAATATAATCTATATTCGTATTATATATTTATATGTAACTGGAGGGCTACAATGGTTATCAGGGGGGAGGGTTAGAAAACTGGGTAGACAGAAAACAAGAATGGTAGCATTTAAAAAATTTTTTTTAAATTGAATTTATTGGGGTGATATTGGTTCATAAAGCCATAAAAGTGTCAAGTGTACGACTCAATTAAACATCATCTGCACATTGCACCATGGGCCTATCGCCCAAGAATGGTAGCATTTTTTACTAAGATATTTTGAATTACGAGTAAATGATCTATTTTTAAAATTCTAAAAAAATTTTTTCAAAAAAAGAATTTATTAAAGATCTATTATATAGAAGACAACATTTCTGTTAGGTGTTAAGAACAAAGAAATGTCATAAAAGATATCTGCCTGCCCTTGAAAAGAGTCCAGTTAGTCATTGCAACCGCATGCATGTATAAGAAACAACTTGAAAACTAGCAGGGAGAAACGAATACCATGGAACAGGTTAAGCATACATGCTGAGGATATGTGGAGAAATCTGGTAGGTTCCTGAAAGGGATAAACTAGACATTCCACTGTAACAGAGACCAAGGACATGGGTTTGCTGGAAGGGAGGAAGAAGGAAGGAGCCTGGCTAACAGTGTGGACGGGACCTTAGAAACTGAGCTCTGAATGTGATTGATAAAAATCCTTGGCCAGAATGGGAATGGCTATGCATCACAGCTATCTTCAGGAGCCCTTGTGGGTTCTCGAACAGTCCTTAAAAGGAGAAGTAGGGAACTCAGTTTTTTCCCTGATATTCTGGTAGAACTATTTTTAAATACTTAGTGTGATTCTCATATGGGTAGGAAAAATAGCAAGATAAAATCAAGTGGAGACTTTGCATTGAATTAAAAATGACAAGATGGAAAAACAATTTTGTGCATTTTGATGGCTATTTTTAAAGGAAATCAATCCTTTTGACTGAAGTCTGTATTTCTACTTGATTAAAGTATTTTGGATCTCACACACAAAAATTAACATTTTCCTTTTCTTCATTTCTGTAGAGTTTGAAAATCTTGCGGAACATGAAAAAGAGTAAGCATCTTTATATTTATTTTTTTAGAACATATGTGCTGCTTTCATAATTATTTAACTCTTCCTTACATAACCGCTCTGTGAAAAAGTTAATATTATTCCTAAACAGAGGCTTGCTCGGTCCTGAGGGTCAGGTCACTCCCAAACCTTGTACTGTGCTGGGTATGACTCACTAAAGCACAGAAACTTAAAGAACTGTAAAGAATCACTAGAGTACAGAACCTTAAATTAAAGTAAAGAACCTTGTGCTGGACTCCACAGTGATAACAGTGGGCAGGGAGTAGGGGCGGGGAAGTTCTGCTTGACCCACTAGTGTAATAGAATGACTTTTGGCACTTTCTACTCATCCTAAGATGCTGTCATCCAAGTGTGCTGTTTAAAATTCCCAGCAGTCTAACCTCAAATGTATTTTCTTTGAAAACAGTCACAGCAAAGCATATTGTGAAACAAATGTGTTGATTTAATGAAATAAAGTATTGACACATTTCTATTTTTACCAAGTATTATTAGCAATAGTAAGTCTGTTGCTTACTATTTTTGCTAAACTGTAATGAAAACAAAACCCAAGGACTACTGAAACTGTGGAACTTGATTATCTTAGAAAACCTTAGTTACAACTACAAAGTATACAAAGCATAGTGATACAGTTTTGACAAATGTGATCCATGTGGTTAATCGCCCAGGACCAATACCAGCTACTTGGTATTACAGGGAGGGACGGAGAAAACCTGACGAAAGGTATTATTAAAGTGGGAAGGGTTATAGCTGAATCTTACTTACCCTTTCCTTCTTTCTATCCATGACCGTGTGCTAGTCTGCTCTCACTGCTACCACACTTGGTCTCCAAAGTGAACTGGTTTCCCGACCTGATGGCTAAAGTATGATGGGAAAGTATGATGGCTAAAACCAGCCAAAAGAGAATTTAAACATTTCAAGAGGAGGAAATTACAGTACAAAACAGGAGAATCAAGCAGTTAAAAGCAAAAGAAATGAGTGACTTGAATAGCCAACCAAAGATTGATTTGATCAGCTTAGCTTATAAAACACACAGGTTTCTTTTTCTAAAAACAAAACAAAACAAAACAAAACAAGAAAAACCCTTCTTTCTCAAGCTCCAATCCTGTCTTGGGGATATTAGATAAAGACACAGAAACTTGCGGCTGATGTGGGTTGGCACTGATTGGCGACATGGGACTTTCTGAGGCCTGAGTCTTACATCTAAGTAAGGGCTCCCAGGTCATTCTCTGGATCGAGGCTGACTTCTGTTTCTCAGCTGCCTTCATCCTCAGGTCTTTGGTCCTTAAATGAAGAACAATATCTGGTTCCCAAATTGATCCCGAAGCCTTAGCCTTATTTGCCTGTGTTTGCCTATTCCTCTTCCCCCTCCGGAAGGCTTGTAATGACTCATGGCTACTGAATTCCGCATGCTCTCCCTTTAGCCTGGATCTCTTACTGGTTTATAGTCAAAGCTGGTCCTGAACCAATTATTGCCAGTACATTCGATGCTCTGATTAAGTAGGCGAGTGTCATACCTAATATTTAACAATTGTTATACGTGGACACTGACCAATAACGAAGGAGGTCAGACCCCAGCAACTGGGGTGGCCATGGCGAAGTACTCCTTGAAAATCGGCCCTATCACAGGTCATCGAAAGGTAGAAGCAGCTCCACCAGAAGTGGGGGGCTGAAAATTGGGGCGAGGTGACTTCCTATAAGAAGATTCAAGTTCTATTATCAGAAGTAGAAGGAATTAATTAATGCTGGGCAGATGGCATAAAAATATCTATGACAAACCAATGTGCAAAATAGCAGTTTCCTTTGATATAGATCAAAAACTTTTGACATATATGACATATATCTGATATATATGACAAAACTTTTGTCTCCTGTTGTAGAGGAATAATTGTTTTCTTCCTGAGGGATGTAATTAACTCTCAGCTCGCAGGCAGCAGAGATGGGGATTGATATCTCTTAAACTTTCTCACCTGCACCCACTTCTTATTCATGTCTCTGTCGTTAACACCTTGCCCGATGGTTGGTATGTAGTAGGTACTCAATAAATATATTTTAATTGAATCTCATTGAAATTCAGTGTGTACTTTAGTGATTCATACTCAAGTGCCTCCGGGATTGGGAAGGTGTTTCTAGGATCCTAGTATTAGGTGTGCGTGCACAAAAATGCAGTCCTAATACTGCTTTCTGAAAACGCTGAAAATAAAACAAAAGAATACTTAATAGTTTCTCCCCAATTATATGCTGTTTCTTAGAGGGTTTATACCAACTTGAAATGATTTTTTTTCACTGCTAGACAGCGCTCCCACAAATTGCGGAGCATGTTTTCAAAATTGAGCAGAAACTGGTGTACGGATATTAAGGTGCTGAGACGAGAAATACAGGGGTGGGCAAAGTAGGTTAAAAGTTGTAAGACAAGTAAATAATACAATAATTAATAAATAATAAAAGAATAAACTGTTTCATGTACTCACAACTGTCAGCCTAGTTTTGCCCACCCCTGTATATGATTTAAGCCTATCTGTAAGTAGCTAAAATAGCAAAACAAAGAAACGTAATGCTTTTGGGAGGTTCTGGGCCTAATGAGAGTCATCTATAATGGGAAAAAAGTAGACTGGAAAGTGAAGAAAGATAATCCAGGAGTAGAGAATAGTGTAAGAAACATCGCAGACTTTGCCAAGTATGAACTAATGTGTGGAGCCAATGATTTAAAAGGGTATATGAGTGCCAAGGGGCAAAGTAAGGTGCACTCAGAAGCAAATTCCCCAAAAAGTTGTTTCACAACATAATGGACCTCATTCATAAGTCCTTCAGTGACTCTCTTTAGTGTTGGGTTTTACTATACAAACAGCCTGTTTGCAAAGAAGCCTTTTAAAAATATATACATGCAAAAATGACATTATAATGTCACCCTATTTGTAAGTATCTATATGTTGTTACATTTGATAGTGATATGTTTATTTGGGAGTATTACTTACTTTGGAAGAAATGTTTGATCTCAGTAATTACGTGGTCTGATGAAGTTATCTGTTTGTCTTCATTCCTTCCCTTATGTTGTTTACTTTGTTTCTAGATCTCTGTAATTCTTCCCCACCAAACAAGCCTGCAGACCCTGTTCAGCCAAATAACTCCAGCTTCTTATGGAATTTTGGTATGTGTGTTATTTTCCAGCAGTTAAAAAAAAGTTTACCTAAATTATTCATTTACAGTATGAGATAAAACTTTAAATAGGATTTGAGGTTGCATGTATAGATCCTTATATTCATACTCTTTTCCATGCAATTTATCTTTTTTATTTTTGATCTTAGCTACTGCTTAACATCTTACATAGGACTATGTATTCTATTACATAGAATTGCCTAGCAAGTGCAGAAAATAAACTAGCTAACCAAATGATTTTGTTGGCATGCAGTAAATGAATGTGACCAGCCAAATGAAAGAAATTCTGAGATGCCATAATACTCCAGTTCATATCCAAGCAAAGTTTAAAAGATGTAGAAGTGTGATTAAAAAACAACAGCAGTTGCTGCTCTCTTGTATAACTCATCAAACAGTAGGAGCTGAAGCGTAACTCTGTTTAAGAGAACTGCCCAATCGCCCCTAAGTATCAGCTAGAAAGTTAAAATAATTTTATATTTAGGGTGATATCATGTATGCTATTTTTTTTTTTGGTAGTAAGTGCAGCAATTAATGTAGGACATTACTGTTAAAAATTATTAACAAAAAGGACAGAATCCCTGAAAGGGCGTGGGGACCCCACCTTGAGAACTGCTGCTCTTTAGTATTGTCCTTATCAATATGGCCAAAATTGGGTTGCCGCCACATCCGGATTGCAGGCATCAAGGAGATGAGGGAACAACATGGGAGAGGGGGGCCTCCGCGTCTAGGCTTAAGGCACTGCCCTGGAAGCGGCAGCATCACATCGGCCCACATCTCCTGAGTTAGACCTGTGCTGCGTCTGAATTGCAAGACACTGGAAAGCGAAATACAGTTGCCCATTTCCGATTCTATTCCTGAAGAAGAAGCAAGGAAAGAGTTTGGTGGGCCGGCCGTAATCTGTGCCACATCTGGGGTACGGTCCCTGTCTCACCCTGTTCCTTGGGCTGTAAAATTTTATTTGGATTACATTAACTAAAAGGTTTATAATTAAATAAAAAGGAGTTAGAATTAGGAAAAAAGTCATTATTCTTATGAAATCACTTAGTTGAAAACATTCATATAGAATATTCTGTAACCTATGAAAAAGGCTTCACATTTTGCTTGGAACACAAATGTTCCCAGCTTCCTTCTTCTCTCTGAACCAGTGATACTGCTTGAGTAGCTCATGGCCATTCTAACTTGACAGGACTCTGTTATCTAATACAAAGATAAAATATTAGAGGGTTGCCTCTACATTGTTTCTTCTGAAACATGAACATTTTATCTACTTAAAAGAGCAGCACAACTTACTTATTGGCTTTCTCTTATAAAGAGATATTATAAATGGTAAGGATATTTTACTTAAAAATGTACATTGGAATTAAAAAACTTAGTCATTTTTAAATATTTTAATTTTCCAGGAATAGGCCTTCATGCAAAAAATGGTAGCTCACTACCGTTCTAAACTACTGAGAATTCATTGGTGAAAAAGACTGAATGCAGATATTCCTCAAATGTCAAATACTTCAGTACTTGCATATTATGTTCTTCTACTCTCAGTTCACTTGGGTTATAGTTAAGCAATTTGCACTGACTGAATGATTTTGTGACTATTGTGTGAAACTGTCTGTGCAAAATATTTTCCTTATATTTTCTTTTTTACCACTCAGAGGAGTGAAATGTACATGAACTACAATGTATGTCCCCTCCTCCCTCTTTTTTTTTTTTTTTTACCATCAACATTAATAAGTTTTACTGGGTTTCTTATTTTTATCTTTTCCTCCTCTTCTTTTCTTCCAGGGCTGGTATAGTTTTGTTGTGGTTTAGATGTGCCAGGCATTGTACTGGCTGCTTTAATAAATATTTCATCTGATACTTTCATGAATTCTGAAAGGTATACCCACGATTTAGCAAGATGATGAAATTCAGGGTTTAGAATATCTTTGAATTTATCATTCTCTGTTCTCCCTTTGTATTCCAAATCTTTCATTGCTCAGTTTGAACTCCTAAAGTTGCTAACGGTAAGAGTACCTTGAACATATACCTCCATCAAAGAAAAGGGAAGTCATATGTTGCTGAAGTGATAAAGAACCCATGTCATTATTTGTCATATATTTTGAAAGAACCTAGAAAAAGGCTTCATGGTGCAAAATTTCCTCCTCTTCCTTCTTTGGGGTGGGTGGGGGAGGAGTGTTTGAGGGAGAGACATAAATGATTAACTACATACTTAGTTCACCAGGATTGTTTATCACTTTATTTTTCCTAAGCTTTTCAAACATAGCCTCTCAGTAATTGAGGGCTTTCTGGGCTGAAGCAGAAGTATAAGTGAATTTAATACAATAATTTTATAAGGCAATAGTGCTTATTTTTCTGGAATTGAAATTTCCCAGTTTTGTTTTATTGATGAGTGGGTGGTGGGTGAAAAGCTGTAGATAAAGGATTTTATTTTAAAAATTAGATTACAAAATAAGCAAAGGATTTGAATAGACTTTTTTTTTCCCAAAAAACACATGTAAATGGCCAACAGACACTTGAAAAGATGCTCAACATCACTAATCATCAGGGAAATGCAAATCAAAACCACAATGAGCTATCATCTCACACCTGTTAGAATGGGTATTATCAAAGACAAGGGACAAGTGTTGGTGAGGCTGTGGATGGAAATGTAAATAAGGCAGCCACTATGGAAAACAGCATGTAAGTTCCTCAAAAAATTAAAAATAGAACTACCAGATGACCCAGAAATTCCACTTTTTGGTATATATCCAAAGGAAATGAAATCATTCTCTCAAAAGAGACACCTGACCTGCACCCCATGTTCACTGAATTATTTGCAACAGCCAAAACATAAAACAACCTAAGTGTCCATTGACAGATGAATGAATACAGAAAATGGGTAAAGAAAAGTTATATATAGGAATATTACTTACCCATTTAAAAAGAAAAGAGGAAACCTTGCCTTTTGCAACAACATGGATGGACCTTGAAGGCATCATGCTAAGTGAAATATGTCAGAGGAAGACAAATACTGTATGTCCTTACTTATATGAGGAACCTAAAAAACCTGAACTCATAGAAATGCAGAGTAGAATGGTGGTTGCCTGGGGTGGGGGCGGGGAAAAACGGGGAAGTGTTGGTCAAATGGTGCAAACTTCCAGCTATCAGATGAAGTAAGTTCTGGGGATCTAATGTACAGCAATAACTATAATGAACAGTACTGTATTATATATTTTTTTTTAATATTCACCCAAAGACAGGCTTAGAGAGGGGAAATGAGGGAGAGAGAGGGAGAGAAACAGTGATGTGAGAGAGAAACATTGATTGGTTGCCTCGCCTACATGCCCCAATCAGGGATTGAACCCACAACCTAGTCATGTGCCCTGACTGGGAATCAAACCAGCAGCCTTTCGGTTACAGGACCATGCTCCAATCAACACTGGCCAGGGCTAGAATATACACTTAAAAGTTGTGAAGAGAGTAAACCTTAAACATAATTACCACAAAAAATTTATGTGAGGGGATGGAGGGGTTAAGTAACCTTAATGTGGTAATCATTTCTCAATATATATGTGTATCAAATCACCATATTGTACACCTTAAACTGACATACAGGGTGGGGCAAAAGCAGGTTTACAGTTTGTATGGAAAATAATACAATAATTAATACATAATAATACAAGAATAAACTCTTTCATGTACTCACAACTGTAAATCTACTTTTGCCATACCTTGTACGATATATATTAATGATAGCTCAACAAAGCTGAAACAAAAGAATATCTTTTATCTAATTATTGCCATTATTAAATTTGTAAGTGTTCTACAGCTTGAAAATATTAGTATTCTATTGTTATCAGTTAAGCATAAACTATAAGACTATTACTAAATTGATCAAAGATGCTGCCTAACCTTTCAAAAAGATCCATGTATTTGTACATATTATAATATACTCTAAAATCCACATATCCATTTCTATATAAAAATCTTTTTTTCAATTTTATTTTAAAAATTTATGTTTTCAACAGTTGATACACAATATTATATTAGTTTCAGGTGCACAACAAAGTGATTAGACATTTACATAACTTGCAAAGTGATCACCCCTTATAAGTCTGATGTCCACCCGACACCATACATCGTTATTATAATATTACTGACTACAGTCCCTATTCTGTCCTCTACGTCCCCGACTGTTTTTTATTACTGGCAATTTGTACATCTTAATCCTTTCCTCCTTTTCACCTTCAGTTTCATTTTTGTTCCCAGGTTTTGCAAATCGTTTTTCAAAACCCAAAGGACCAAGGAGCCCACCACCAAGTTGGAATATTTAACAGCACTTTGGACTATAGTCTGCAAGTGCACCTGCCAAGAAATAGTACCAGAATGTGGCCAGCTAAAATAAATGCTCTGTATTCATAATGTTGACAGTGCAGATATGGTAACATGGTAACAGATCTTAAGAGAAAAGCAATACACAAATAAGTGCAGAACTTTTACATTTAATCTCATTTATATTGTTTTGGAAACAGCAGGGAGAGAGTTTGACACTTGAGCTTATGTAGAGAATGCTGTAGGAGAAACAGTTTGGGCATGGCCTTTTCATTTTGGGAAGTTATTTTTATTCGACTTTACTTTTCTACATAAATATAAACTTTAAAAGATTTGTAAGAATTGGATCTCAATTAAATGTCTACATTGCCAGAATTTACTATGAAAAGTGTTTTGAAAAAATCTTATCTTGTGGTTGCAGTACAAAATGACTGCTTGTGACTATTCCCTGGGAGTTACTTTTGCCTAAATGGAGTATACCTTGCACACCTTCCTGAATGTTATGGGAAACTGGAGTAGAAAGAAAAGAAGTTATATTTAAGACAATAAAATAATGTAAATAATGACTGTAATAATTTTTATCTGTGTATATAAACTAACAAGATGTTCAATTACATTCCTGATACATTTTAACCAAAGTTATTCAATGACCAAATAATCAACGAAATAACTATCTTTTGGTAGCATTTTTTTTCCATTTCAAAGGTTCTGGGTAAACAGGTGCAACTTATATCCAACCAGTCAGAGAGACTGTTAGTTTAGTGTTTTTTCTAATAAATATGGATCTCACATTTTAAGAATAGCTGATCTTTCTTATCTAATTTTATGTAACAAATAAATTAGTGGGTAATTATTACAAAGAATTTTCCAAAATATTTTTTTTTTAAATTTCAAAAAGTCAAATAGCAACGAATACTTAAAGGGCACTTATTTTTCAGTATTTTTCATTGGGAAGACAAATAAATGAAGACATAAATTGAGTGAAATATTGCTACCTGTTTATTGCAGCACACAACAGGTGCGCAAGAAACTTGTTTAGAAACTAACGTCACTGTACGGTTCAATTAGCTGAGTACTTCTCCAGGCACTAGTGGTATCAAACCACAGTAATTTTGTCTGAGTACTTCATCGTAATTAATCATCTCCAAATATCTTTATCAAGGACCAATATATATGAAAAGAATCTTAGGTAAAGCCTAAAGTGACGATGAAATTGTCAATGAATTTCTGAACGAGAGCCTCGGTGAACCGTGACGATTTCGGGCGTGTTCTCCGGTAGGCACACTTCTCCAATTTATGCAACCTTATACTTACGATTTGACAGATCTTTCAAAAATTTAAAATACGTCTTCCCGTCCACAATTTTTCCCTAGCTGTACAAATGTGTTCACTGGAGGGGAGCGGGTGAATGGCGAAGTGAGGCGGCGCTCACCAGGCTCCCAGAAGCTTCTTACACCTGCCTTGCTCGCCCTGGAGCTGTAACCATGGCAACGCTCGCGCGGAGGGTCGAAACGTTTCTGAATTGCAGCCCCATTAGATGTTAACGCAAAATCTCCCTCATTTTACATATTACTAAGTTCCCCTTTTCCTCTTCGTCTTATCACTTGTTCAAGGATAAAATGCCCGAGATTCTTTTACCTCACAAAGGTTAAAAGAGGAACACGAAATTTAAAAGTAACTATGGAGACCACCCACTCCGCGTAAAATGACGGGGGAACACAAGATGATAATAGGAACGCGCCGCCAGTCTGAAAGCCATTAACATTGTTTGGGCCGTTAAGGCGGTTGGCGGCAACTCTCCGCCCAGCGGCGGTTGCGTCGCAGCCCGAAGCGTGACTCGGCGCACGCTCTCTTTCTGCCTCTCCGCCCCCGGAGCCAGGGAGGCGGCGGGGGGCTGGGGGAACTACCGCTCCCATGAGGCTCTGCGCGGTCCAGAGTGTTTTACTATAGAGTTCGGGTGGAGAGGCCGGCAGAGAAGCGCTGGGAACGGCCGCTTCCGGCATGTTCAGCTCAGGATCTAGAGCCGCCGAGAAGTGGAGGGCGGCAGAGGGACTTCAATGCCCAGCGGGCCGTGCGCGGGAGGCGCTTGCGCGATACGCGGACGGGGGGGCGGTCGGGCCATTTAAATGTGTGTTTGTGGGTGAAATGGCTGCGCAGGTCGGAGCGGTGCGCGTAGTACGGGCGGTGGCGGCGCAGGAGGAGCCGGACAAAGAAGGGAAGGAGAAGCCCCATGCTGGGGTCTCGCCGCGGGGAGTGAAGCGACAGCGCCGAGTGAGCAGTGGGGGGTCTCAGGAGAAGCGGGGGCGGCCGAGCCAGGACCCCCCTCTCGCTCCCCCTCACCGGCGACGTCGCAGCCGCCAACATCCCGGGCCGCTGCCGCCAACGAATGCAGCCCCAACCATCCCAGGCCCGGTTGAACCTCTGCTCCTGCCGCCTCCGCCGCCACCTTCGCTGGCCCCCGCCGGGCCCGCTGTCGCTGCCCCGCTCCCAGCCCCAGGCACCTCGGCCCTCTTCACCTTCTCGCCCCTGACGGTGAGCGCGGCCGGGCCCAAGCATAAGGGCCACAAGGAGCGGCACAAACACCATCACCACCGCGGCTCCGACGGTGACCCCGGCGCCTGCATTCCGGGCGATCTCAAGCACAAGGACAAGCAGGAAAACGGCGAGAGGACTGGAGGGGTGCCCCTGATCAAGGCCCCCAAGAGAGGTGAGAGCAGGCGAACCGCCCCGAGCTTGGGCTCTGGGTCTCTCTCAGTACAGATATCCCGCCCCTTTAGCACTGCAAGACGCCAAACCCCTGCCTAGCTCCTGCTGCTCTACTCCCCTAAGCCCGCTGGGGTGGACTCTGGATTTCAAACCGCTGACACAGTCTGACCTACTTGAGGCTTCTCGCTCCCAGGCCGAGCTGTCAGTTACTAACCCCCTTGCCAGGCCCCCCACCGGCTGCTCCCAGAGCCTTTACCAGCGTTTGTTTTTAAATTCCGTAGGGTTTTCGCGCGGTGCGGTTCTTGGCGTGGGATTAGTAGGTGGCGTATTAAAAACTGCCTTTTTAAAGTAGAGGCTTTTTAGCTAAAATCCTTTCTTTCTGTTTTCCTTGATGGTTGCCTTTAATATTTACTCTGTTGCAAAATCTTCCCGGGTATGGTTTGGGCCTCTAATGAGTTTGAATTCTTTGAGAGGTTTCTCGACTCCCAGATTACCTTTAGTCTGTAAGGTGAAACGTCAAACGCAGTTTATCTTCGTTCTTTTTTATCTGGAGGTAAAAATCATTTTTAACTTTCATACTAGGTCTTAATTCTCAGAAAAGCGATGGGGAAGGTTTTCTCTTCCCTTTGATCCTAGGAAATAGGACCAATCGGGCCCCTAAAAAGTGGAAAGTGTGCAGTAGTAGAACCAGAGGCTAGAATTCCAGTTGCATTTTATTTTGTCGACACAGCAAATTGAGAATTTATTTAATTCCAATAATCTCGGCTAAAGTCAAGACTGTTTAACTCAGAGAAAGCGTAGGACTACCTAATTAAGTGTGGGTTCTAGGGAAATTAGGGTGGCCACAATTGGTGTCTTTCTGTTTCCAAGTACCTGTAGCATTTGTTTATAGTCTCTGTAGAAGAAGAGGGGGAGAAGCTGTATGAATTTTCATGATGCCGTTCGTTTGTATTTTGTATATGATTTTATGTGATTTGTTAGTTGTATCTCCTCAAGAAGATTTTAAGATACTACTTTGTTTCTTACTACCGGGCCAGACATGTTAATAAGCCAGTCTTCCAATCCAAAGTATTCTGAGTCTTGGGTTCTTTCTTATGTTTGGTCTTAGACTAAGACTGAGGCTAATTAATTTTGGGGGGTGGGGGGCGGTGCTACTTCCAAATGGTGCCGCAAATAATTGTCCAATAGTATTTATTGAATTTGGTTAAGTCTTTCTTCCTTTGATGGTATCCATATCTTAGCCTCAGTAATAGTGCTTGTGCCAGGCTGGCCAGAGTGCCCGTTTCCACCATCAATATGGACTGATCTTGCTCGCTTTTATTTCCACCTTTATTTCTCATCGCTTCATTTCGTGTGTGTGTTTATGTTTTAACTATACAGAGCTAGAGGTAATTTTAGAGATCATCCAATTTAAATCTGTGTAGTAAAAGGAAACTATGGCCCAATGTAGAACAAGTACAAATATTTCAAAAAATGTTAAATGAATCATTGGCCTGATAGGGAGTAGAACCCAGACCTCCTGAATCCCAGTTCCAGTTTCATCCCTCAGCTGCATGATGTTGCTTTCTCTTTCTGCCATTCGTTTTTTCCACTTCTTTGCTTACCCTTTACTTTGGTATCAGGGTGGCAGTAGCCAGTCCCATCAAGAATTTCTGACCTAACCATTCTAAATGGTGCAGTTTTGGGGGACAGTGGCAATTACATGTATAATAATTCACAATGTGCTTCTGGAGATTGCACAGACCTCATTTTATTTTTTTAAACAAACAAAAACAAACCCTTAACCCAGTGCCGTCCGACAGCACTTTCTTCAGTGGTAGAAATGTTCCATACCTGTGCTGACCGGTATGGTAGCCATTAGTCACATGTGGCCCTTGAAACAAGTCTCGAAGACTTGAAATGCGGCTGGTATGACTGAGGAACTGAATTTTTTATTTAATTTAATTTAATTAAATTAATTTATCATTAAGTAATTCCTTTTGGCTAGTGGCTACCACACTGGACAGCATAGCTCAGAGCATCTGTAGTTTGCCCATATGTGAAGAAGACAAGTGAGTTGGGATTGGGTCTATTCAGCTTTCTTAAAAAATTGAGTCATAATTGACACATAACATTAGTTTCAGGTATATGACATAATGATTCAGTATTTGTATATATTGCAAAATGATCACAATAAGCCTAGTTTAAACATTTTAACCTTTGAATGGAAAACTGTTGGATTACGAGTCTGGGAGGAAAACCAAACACCATGGCCTCCTGGATACATGACACACACTGGCATTTTAAAAGTTCTGAGAACCCTACAGAAAAGAACCTGATTTAACCTTGTTTAATCCTGGCCTTTGCACGCACTTTGGATACCTTTTATTTTTTCCGCTGTGCATCTTTATACTTATTACTGTGGTGTGCAGGGGGCGGGCCGCTGGAGTCAACCTGAGTTTAAATCTCCGTTTAACCGCTTACTGTCCGACCGCGGGCAAGTTACTTTAACCCTCCTCGGCTTCACTTTTCCTGTTTGTAGAGGAGGGTTGTGGTATTTCTTTTATAAGGTTGTTATGCAGTTTAAATGAGGCAAAACGTGGGAAGCACTTAAAACAGTGTCTGGCTGCTATTAGGCACTGTCAGAACTGTTCTTTTATCATGCTTCATCCTTGAAATAGCTCTGAGATTAATAAGGAGAGTGGCTAGATCCTTGTTATTTATGGACCTATGTTTTCCCTTCCCTTCAGATTTTTACAAACTACTTTAACTTCTTATTTTGAGGTAATAAAATATTCACAGGAAATTGCAAAAATAGCATAGGCAGGGGTTCTTTCCCCTAAAGGTTACATCTTATATAACTATTGTATAATATCAACACCAGAAAATTGACATTGGTGTGTGTATGTGTGCTTCTGTGCCATTTCATCACCTGTAGATTAATTTAACCACCGCTGCAATCAAGATTCACAACTATTGCAACACTATGAAGATCCCCCTAATGCTACCCATGTATAGTTTTTGGAACTCACTATGTCTCCCCACCTTCCCTAACTCCTTGTGGCCACTAATCTCTTCTCCAGCAACCACTAATTTAACTCTATAGGTTCATGATTTTGAGAATGTTATATAAATGGAATAATAAAGTATGTCATTTTTCTGAGGGTTTTTTTTTTTTCACTAAGTATGATGTTCTTGAGATCCATTCAAGCTACTGTATGCATCAGTAGCTCACTCCTTTTCATTACTAAATAACATTCTATGGTATGGCTATACCACAGTTTAACCATGTACTTACTAAAAGACTTTTTGCTTTCTAGTTTAGCTTTTATGACTAAAGCTTTATGAACATTCATGTTCAGGTCTTTGTGTGGGTGTAATTTTCATTTTTGGGGGAAGGCAATTGCTAGATCATATGGTAAGTGCATGTTTAGGTTTTTGGGTTTTTGGTTTTTTTTAAATACATTGCCAAACTGTTTTCTGGACAACCCCGTACCATTTTACAGTCCCATCAGCAATGTATAGGAGATATACTTCTTCCACATCTTTGCCAGTATTTGGTATTGTTACTGTTTTTATTTTATCTGTTTTGATAGATGTGTAGTGATATCTCATCATGGATTTAAGTTGCATTTTCCCAATGGTTAGTGATATTTAACATCTTTTCATGTCATCATTTGCTGTTTGTATATCCTTATCATTAAAATGTCTGTTTTTTGCCTGTTCTCTTTTTTTTTCCCTTTTTCATTGAATTTATTGGGGTGACACTGGTGAACAAAATTATACAGGCTCCAGGTGCTCAGCTCACAACACATCATCTGTGCCCTGTACTGCGTGCTCAGCACCCCAACTCAAGTCTCTTCCCATCGCCATTTATCCCGCCTGTACCTCCTCCTCCTCCTCCCCTCTTCTCCCCTCCCCTCTGGCTTTTTTGTCCATTTTCTAATTGAATTGTTTGTTTTTTTTTACTTAGTGAAAGTTCGAGAATTCTTTATATATTATAGATAAGAGTCCCTTGTCAGATTTGTGGTTCGCAGATATTTTCTTCCACTCTGTTGTTTGTCTTTCGGTCTTCTTAACAGGTTCTTTCACAGAGCAAGTTTTGGATTTTGTCGAAGTTCAATTTATTGATTTTTTTTTTCTTTCATGAGTCATGCTTTTGGTGTCATGTCTAGGGTCTCAAGATCTAGGTCCCAAAGATTTGCTCCTGTTTCCCCCGCCCCCAAAAGTTTTATAAGTTTAACTTTCACGTTTGAATCTGTGATCTATTGGAGTTAGTTTTGTATAAGGTGTGAGATTTAGGTTGGAGTTCCTTTCTTTGGCCTATGGATAGGCAATTGCTCCAGTACCTTTTGTTTGAAAAGACTATTATTCCATTGAATTTCTTTTGTACCTTTGTCAAAAATCAGCTCCATTGCCTACTTTGGTATGACCTGTGAGCTAAGAATGTTTTTTATATTTTAAATGGCTGAAAGAAAAAACCCCACGGCATGTGAACATCACTTCAAATTCAGAGTCAGTGCCAGGAATACAGTTTGAACGGAACACCACTCCGCTCTTTCAGAGGTGTCGCCCACGGCAGCGCCTGTACAGCAGCCGCGGAGCCGTCGCGGAGAGCGAGCGCTCGGCCTGCCGGGCGTGCTCCTGGCTCTGCGGCGGAGTTTGCTGACCCCCTGCGGCCACGCGCTCGGCCTGGCCGCGCTCCGGCACACCAGGCCAGCAGTGCTCAGTCCAAACTCCTGCCCGGCTTAAGCACGCACTTAGGATGCCAGACGTTGGGAGCTGCTCATAAATAGTTGAAGCAAAAGTTTAGTCTGTAAATGCTAAGGTAGACTTGATTTATCTGTAAAATGGAACATAAAGGGATTTGTGAAGAGGTAAAGTAACATGCTAAACTTTTCTAGTTAAAAAGGGATAGAACTGAATCTGGGAGATAATAAATATTGAGAGACTTAATCTTTTTTAAAAAAATTCCTTCTAAGCAGCAGGCTAGAGTCTTAAACGGACGGTCACCTGTGTCTT